GTGGAAATACATACAAGGCAAAAATTATGCCATTTTGGCCGCTATGTTGCGAGGGCGAAGCTATTTCGTCTAAAATGTTGCGTCCCCGTTACCTGGGCTGGAGTATTCATATGGGAAAAATTTCAGTCCGGTTACCGAGATCTCGGTCGCAAAACCCGAGATCTCTGTAACCGGGCCAGCCTGGCTTCTCATATGAACACATCGAAATTTTTACGAAGGAAAGAGTGGCGAGGCGAGATCTCGGAAACTGAGCTAGCCCGGTTGACCGGGCTCGTATGAAGAGGCCCTTAATCAAGTTTGGTTCGGCACATGAGTGGAGCGGCGTTTGGATCGGGCCAAACACAGAATAACACAGCATACATTGCCCTTCAGAAAAGTATTCAATAAATTTCAGTGAGAGTAAGGACTGTAGCTGATCTGATCTAGCTGGTGACCTAAAGGAATTTCCCAGATGTATATTGTTGTTCCAGTGTCGACACAGTGAGTGAATGCAGTGATGATAAAGTTACTGGCTCCGAGTGAAACGTGTGAAGAACATGAAAACAATGTATCTCACACCAAAGAAAGAGCAGAGTACTGCAAAATTTTATATAGGTTAACAATTTATTTTGGAAAAATAAAATTACGATCAGTAGTCCCATGGCTGCGCCTTGAACACGAATTGTAAACCGGTTCCCACCAGCCTGCCCGAAAAGTAACAAACCTAATATGATATTTTCTTCGTCATTTTGTTAGGAATACGGCACAAACATCTATCTTGACAGAAAATTTGACAGACCACCTTAAAAGGGAATCAAGTCCAACATCCGGGTTAGTGACGGAAGGAACACATGTTTTTCGACAAAACGCGGCCTAAGTTTTAAGCCAATCATAACCTGCTTCGATGGATATGGCAACCAAGATACCAGAGGAGGCGCACGCATGCAAGCATTGCGGACAGTTCTTTAACCAGTTATCAGCTTACAAGGAGCATGAACGAATTCACACAGGAGAGAAGCCGTATACATGCAAGTATTGTAATAAGTGCTTTGGCCAGTCAGGAAATTGCAAGCAACATGAGAGAACTCACACAGGAGAGAAGCCATATTCATGCAAGCATTGTGATAAGCGCTTTCGCCAATTAGGACATTGCAAGAAACACGAGAGTATTCACACAGGAGTAAAGCTTTATACATGCAAGCGTTGTGACAAGTGCTTTAGCCAATTGGCAAATTGCCAGAAACATGAACGAACTCACACAGGCGAGAAGCCGTATGTATGTAATCACTGTAATAAAAGCTTCAGCTCCTCATCACATTGTAAGCAACATGAACGAACTCACACAGGAGTGAGACCGTATACATGCAAGCATTGCAAAAAGACCTTTAGCCATTTAGCAAACTGCAAGGAACACGAACGAATTCATACAGGAGAGAAGCCATATACATGCAAACATTGCGAAAAGTGCTTTAGCAGCCACACGTCTTGCAAGCAACATGAACGAACTCACACAGGAGAGAAGCCGTATACATGCAAACATTGTAATAAGGGATTTAGCAAGTCATCAAATTGTAAGCAACATGAACGAACTCACACAGGAGAGAAGCCGCATACATGCGAACACTGTGATAAGGGCTTTAGTCGCTCATCAGATTGTAAGCGACATGAACAAACTCACACGGAAGAGAAGCCGTTTGCATGCAAGCATTGTAATAAGAGCTTTAGCAGGTTATCACAGTGCAAGCGACATGAAGGAATTCACACAGGAGAGAAGCCGTATTCATGCAAGCATTGTAATAAGGGCTTTAGCCAATTAGCACATTGTAAGCAACATGAACGAATTCACACGGGAGAGAAGCCGTATACATGCAAGCATTGTAATAAGGGCTTTGGCCGCTCATCAGATTGCAAGCGACATGAAGGAACTCACACGAAAGAGAAGCCGTATACACGCAAGCATTGTGATCAATGCTTTAACGACCCATCAGCTTGCGAGGAACATGAACGAACTTACACACGGGCGAAGTCGTATACATGCAAGCATTGTAATCAGGGCTTTAGCAAGTCATCACATTGGAAGGAACATGAGCGAACTCACACAGGAGAGAAGCCGTATATATGCAAACATTGTGGTAAATGCTTTAGCGGCCCATCAGCTTGCAAGCAACATGAACGAACTCACACAGGAGAGAAGCCGTATGCGTGCAAACACTGTAACAAGTGCTTTAACAAGTCATCAAATTGTAGGCGACATGAACGAACTCACACAGGAGAGAAGCCGTTTACATGCAAGCATTGTAACAAGGGCTTTAGCCGCTCATCAGATTGCAAGCGACATGAAGAAATACACGCAAGAGACAGTTCTTTAAAACGCAAGCAGCATGATCAGGGCTTTCAACTAAGACACGTTCCGGAGCCAGCTGCAACTCAGGGTGGGAAAGCGTTTGATGTGTTTTCTTTGAGTGAAGAAAGTACAAGCGAAGTTGAAAGCTTTAGCTGTTGGATTTATCAGGAGGAATTTAGTAACGAGACGCTCTCCGCATAGGCTCAAGGGTTTTTTTTTTCGGGCGATGTGAGTGCAGGCACGGGACTGCGTGACGCATTCACCTCGCGCAGCGGATTCTATAATGAACGTTCGAATCTCTGCGAAGGAGAGACCTAGCGAGGCATTCTTCCTTTCTCTAAATGGTAAAACTGGCCTAAAAGCAGCAAAAAACAGCACTAGCCGAATGTTCGATGCTAGTAACATTTCTGCCAAACCATGGCCAAACCCATGTCTTGAAAGAAGACTAAATATATAAATAATTAAAAACTAAAAGGACAATAACAAAAGAGACCAGTCTTTTTAAATGACACTTTTAATCTAATATTTTAAAGTTTCAATTGCGAATGTACAATACTAAAAGTTTTTTTACACACAAATCACAAAGTCAAGTTGTTCCAACTATATACTTTATCTGAAACGGTCGTGTTCTCCAATCTGTTTTTGTATCCTTGAGCTTTGTAATAGTTGTTGAGCGCTGTTTCCCTGACGCTATTCACATCACTTTAAGTCGATGTAAGGGGCTTCTGTTACTGTTCTTGATACTGCAGTTTGGAAAGTGATCCCCCATATTGACTAGAACAAAACAACAAGACGACAAAGTCAAAAAAGCAGCGCCGTTGTAGTTAGTTTGGTTTCTGAGTGACTTTCACAATAAGCTAGCTCAAATCAATTCTGTTCGTCGCACCGACCACAACGGATGAAATTAATGCAATAGGCAAAACAAACTTGCAACGAATCGAAGCTCGTTCCCAGAGCTTTTCCGTTGAAGTTTAGAAACTTCAAAGGTAAACCACACTGAGGGAACTAGATTACTATGCACCTAGCGCCAAGTGCGGACTCTTAAGATTTTTCTTTGGTCAAGAAAAGTCTAATGAAGTCTATTTCTCCGCTAGTTTCTTTAACAGCTTGATTTGATAATGATATGTGACGTTTCTCAGTAACGTATCTGACTTAAAAAATACAAATATGAGCTCAGATAATTCTTCAGCGCAACTTTTTTGACGACATAAAACGAATTTTATTTCTTACCAATAATAAATTTAATTAATTTTGTAACGATAACCAAAATTCTTTCGTACCATTTCTCCTAAGAAAAGGAGTTCGTGCAATTTCTTCCTGATAAGTGGTCTGGTAAAGACCCGCGAACTGCCCAAAGTTTCTGTTCATTCTCGATTGGCTGTTTCTCGAAGGAGGGGACCGCTCGCCTTGTGCCTTGCGAGGGACGGGTGGGAGAGAGCAGCTAGAGCCCTTGTCAGCTGGTATCCAGACCATGTATGTCTGAAGCTGTAACGGGAATAAAAGAACAACAACGATAAACACAAAAGAAAAAAGAAAACACTTTAGATGGCGAAATTAATCTCTCATTCAGCTGGGCAGTGGTCAAAGAAATTGAAAGGTGTTTTAAGGTATATTTATTTTTCTTACCCTATCGCCAGTTTGAAAAGGGAAGAATATCGTGGGATGCGGATTGTTCCTGCTCACATGACTAAGCACAGTTTTTCTTGTCTTCGCGTCATGTGACTTGCGTTGCGCATGTGCCTGTGGCAGGTCTCCGCTGCGTGAGGAAAAAATAGAAACGAAATTAATTCGGGATGAAAAAGATGACTTTTTCAATAAGTGCAAATTCTAGCCTGGAAATCAAACTGGCAAGCACTTGTAAAGTAAATAAATCGGGTTGTTTTGAAATTTTTACATTCAACTCAATAATATCAGGCCCTAAAATCGCTTGAATGGAATACTTCTTTCTTTGACAGTTCCATTCCACATAAGAGAAAAAAAATTAATTGTTGATAATGACAGTACAGCCCTCAGAAGAAAAGCTCGATAGTGCGGGTTACAACAAAAAGTAACCTTGTCTGACGTGAAAAGTTCCGAGTTATTAAGCGGAGGCAGCGTGGCCGAGTGG